TTCCATTTCAGTAGAGTAGTTTAATTTAGCGGCTACAGGACTGAATATGAAGACTACATGGAAAGAAATGGATTTTATTTTAACTGCAGTAAATGTAGCTTGCTTCCCATGCAGGAAATATAGCTAATGGAGTAATCTAGCAAACCATAAAGATACCTGCCAATAAATTCTTTCAGCTTCCTGTTATTTCGTTTTTTTTTTAAGGTAAAAGAGGTAGTGAGTACCACAGATCCGTACAGATTCTCAGTTTGAAGAAATTCGAAGTTTGATGAAATTTGGTGAATAATACAGTAAACAATGGGGGTCTTAATGCTTTGAGAAGTTATGTCAACTTTCATTTCCTGCCCAATGATAAATTGTAGCAAGAAAGCGGGGGACATTTGTTATGCTAATATTGGTGACATGCTTGATTAAAATAAATTTGTTGGGCTAGGAGACAAAGCTGAAAGAAGATTATAAGGTGGCAAAGGTGCTGGAGCCATGTCATTCATTCTGGACAAGACTGACGTGAGAGAAAGTGGCCTAGATCTGTAGGTATACAAATAAATGCCACACGCATATATTACATTTATACGGAAACATACGTGGCAAATGTGTGTTTCTAAACACTGCATTTTTAAGCAATATAAACCGAAGATTTATATTTATCGCGAGTTTAATTTCACGCAATAAGCTGTATGTGTTAAAGGGATTTTTCAGTTTCGATCCTTAGCGTGTGTATGATAATCAGCTGGATAGGTGCTGCCCCCACAGTGCAAACCTTGGCCGCACAGCTGGGATTCTTGAGCTACAAGAAAAGATAGACTTCTCGCAATTTACAAGAGTAAGATGGAGGGGAAAAAAAACTTTGTTGGGAGTAATCAAAAAAGCACGTCCTGTTATTCAGCATGGGGTACTAAACCAAGAAATCTCCTAGTGGCATTGACGAATGACGAAGGTCGCTTCGTTTCAGCGCCAAACAAGTACCCATTCCTCTTCGTTAGTCTGTCCGTTCCTCTCCGTCAAGCTCCGCCATGATGCAAGAAGACTGGGCCGAAACTTACGGCGGAAACAAATGAGACGTCGGCTGGTCTTTTCTTCGCCCTCCCTGATGACGCAAAGATACCCATTCCAACGAACAAACACATATTTGTATTTCTACCCCCCCCCTTCTTGCCTCTATTTTCTTGAACTAATTCTTTGTTTCAGAACTGAATTTTCTAACATTTTCAAACATATGTATTTCCTATATATATATATACAAATAATTATACTGAAAATACCATAAAGAAGAATACATATAATTAAGCCGGTCCGGAATGATTTACATGGTATATGCATTCACATGTTCGTGGTACGCCCGCAGCAAACTAAGGTCGTGCCAGACTTTAGCAAACCAAAAACCAGTTGTTGTTTTTTTTTGTTTTGTTTTTATGCAAACTTAAGCGAAGCTCAGATCAACTACATTATATTTTAAGATAAATAGTCCTACAAAAACAACACTTTGAGGAAGAAATAAGAACTCGAGTGTTTTCAGAGACAGAAGCACTTTACTTACACACAAACACCGAAAGCCTTATGTTCAAGTAATGTTAGAATTGTTGTACCGTGAAGTGGAGTAAATAAAATACAATATCTTAAAGATACAAAACGACCTGTCATTCCACACAGACAGACACACCATTCTAGAGCAGCTATAAAAATAATATTTTCCCATTCCCATTTTGTTTTCTTAAAATGTATATTTTTGTGTGTGTGTGTGTGTAACTGATTGTGTTCTTCTAAAGAAAAATAACATGTATACAAAGTTAAAGGCATTGAGAAAAATAAACGTTCCGTGTTTATAGCGTCTTGATGCAATGTTCTGATATAAATAGATGATAAATGACATCTATCTATAACCTGGGTAGAACTAAAGCATTCTACACCAAGTCATCGTGCATAGACGAAATATGAAAAAAAAAAGTAAATGTGGAAAATATATATTTTAAGTCTTTTAATGCAAAATATTAAGTTATCGAACAACTACAAAAAAACGTAGCAGCCCCCAGTTGGATGATTATATTTCATGTAAAAATGCATAGTTTTTGTTATAGTTAAGAAAAAAAGATCGAGTTTCGATACCCGCGGTGGGCACAGCACAGAAAGTTCGTTTATGTGGCTTTGTGCTGAACAACAAACACATTTCTCGTAAAATAAAATAAGTACTTTTATAGCTATATGATTCCCCCGGGAAGCTTATCCTTTTACTTCTCCCAAAGCTTATATGATCATATATGTATATATACATGTATGTAAAGGAAAGTAAATTCATATATAATTGAAAACTGTTCAGCCATCGTTTTAGATATTCGTTTTTCGATAAATTGAAGTGCAAAATTTGTTGATAATTAATTATTTTGAGTTCAGGTGTATGTATATCAATATTATTATAGTTTTTGTTTCACCGATAACGTAGTTTCTGAATAAAGCCATCGCTAAGAGAACAACGATTAACAACAGAGAAAAACAGATTAATTTTAGACTGAGATTTTCTAAAGAAATAACTAAAGTCTGAACAGTTATAGCCTAATTTTGCACTGTTTACTGACGTATGTTTATAGCCTAATTTTGCACTGTTTACTGACGTATGTTTTTTTTTTGCTCTAAGCCACTCGACCACGAAGAAACCCTGTAAGTACTGTCAACTAGGCATCAATTACGGTAACGCTCCTGCTGAAGTGATAACAGGAACTTATAATTTCACAAACAGATATTAAGACATCACTGTTATAGGGATTTTATATTCCCTTTGGGTTGTGATGGATTTCTTAGTCGGATATTTCGTAAAGATAATGAACGATATGGCAGCCATGCATAATGGAAGAACGGTGAAACATTTGCGGTAGGGCGAGCACAAAATACATATTCACGTGCAAATTAATGACGTACGTAGAGAAGACAAATACTAACCTTTATATGAATCTTTTCTGCTTGCTGGAGACGAATATCATCGCCTTGCAATGCATAACACATCTAAGCATTGACTAACCATGCTAACAGTGTCTAGATCGGCCGTTCATTCAGCTCCTCCCTCCACGACGGCCATTTTGGCTGCGGACAATAAACGTCGGCTGTGAATATTTCTCCAGAAAGGCAAACTCTTGACGCCCGTTGGGGAACAGCTTATTGTGTAGTATTGTAACAGTTGGCCCCAGTGTTTAATAGATCCAAACCCACAGTCCAAACTGCACTAAAGCTAGTTGTCCACTGTTTTTGCGCTCAGCAAGTAATTATGATGTAAGCACTTATACGTATGTATGCCTTTATCGGCTATAATGTGTTTGAAATGTAACTTAACCAGAAGTCAAATGTTGAGCCTGTTGGACAAATCTATTTCCTTAAAACACGACTTACGGCAGTTTTATACATGTGCAAATGTCCGCAAACACGATTAGATTTCAGTTGATTTATTTAAAATTGAGAATACGGGGGTTATTTATATAACTCAGGCTTCCTTGTGTTGAGGTTCTAGAAACGCGAATCATTGAAACATTGCGCTTGTAGTATTATTCGATGTGGTTTTCATTTACATAAAATGTAAGATGTTACAGAAATTACTGGATCATTTCAAGTATGCTTTTTTCTGTGTATAGGTGTAAACGGTTATTTTTATTTGAGTTTTATCTTAATGAATTATTGCTGTAAATATCACAGCATCGTTAAGTAATAAACACTATACGTAAATGTATGTTTCTTGTAGGTTCATAATCATGCTTATTTAGACTGTTAACATATCTGTATGTTTCCTGTAGGTTCATAATCACGCTTATTTAGACTGTTAACATATCTGTATGTTTCCTGTAGGTTCATAATCATGCTTATTTAGACTTAACATATCTGTATGTTTCTTGTAGGTTCATAATCATGCTTATTTAGACTGTTAACATATCTGTATGTTTCTTGTAGGTTCATAATCATGCTTATTTAGACTGTTAACATATCTGTATGTTTCTTGTAGGTTCATAATCATGCTTATTTAGACTGTTAACATATCTGTATGTTTCCTGTATGTTCATAATCACGCTTATTTAGACTGTTAACATATCTGTATGTTTCTTGTAGGTTCATAATCACGCTTATTTAGACTGTTAACATATCTGTATGTTTCCTGTATGTTCGTAATCACGCTTATTTAGACTGTTAACATATCTGTATGTTTCTTGTAGGTTCATGATCATGCTTATTTAGACTTAACATATCTGTAGGTTTCTTGTAGGTTCATAATCATGCTTATTTAGACTGTTAACATATCTGTATGTTTCTTGTATGTTCATAATCACGCTTATTTAGACTGTTAACATATCTGTATGTTTCCTGTAGGTTCATAATCATGCTTATTTAGACTGTTAACATATCTGTAACATAATTTTTTGTTACTATTATTTAATAGTACTATTTTGTAAGTGTACAATTAGTATTTCTTGCTCTTTAAGTAATTATAAGAAGTATAATTTGTATTACTTCATACTTAAATAATTATAATTCAATAAATTATTATTGGAAAGGTACTCGGTTAAAGATCGAACCACAGGATCTTGGTATGTGTTTTGGACTCACGTATAAAAAATACTATTACGCTAAACGCAAATATTTATACGCAACAGTATATGATTTTGGTTTCACATTTTAAACATACTGGTACGCTAAACACATATGTTTATATGCAACATTATATAAGATATTGGAATGTGTTTTGGTTTAACATATTAAATATACTGTTACGCTAAACGCAAATATTTATACGCAAAAGTATATGATTTTGGTATGTGTTTTGGTTTCACATTATAAACATACTGGTACGCTAAACACATATGTTTATATGCAACATTATATAAGATATTGGAATGTGTTTTGGTTTAACATATTAAATATACTGGTACGCTAAACACATGTTTATACGCAACAGTATATGATTTTGGTAGGTGTTTTGGAGTCATATATTAAAAATATTGGTACTAAACACAAATTTTATACGCAACAAACATGGAATTTATTCAGGACTGAAAAAAACAAAGTACAGCGATTGTATCACATACATCCGGGCACTCACAAAGAGGTGTGTGTTGTGATATTTTCTTGTCATTATCTAAATATACAAACCATTACAGAATAAACGCCACTGGGAAAATATCACTTTAAAGCTAATTATTTCAACAATAATGCAGTAACACTGCTTGAACTTGTGAACGGTAGATCTCACAAACACTCACTAAGAAAACAGAAATATTTCTAAAAGCTAAGTGTTGAAATTGCATTTAAAAGGGAAGAAACAATGTACGTTATACAATACGCCAAAAGAAAAAGTAAAACACAGTACAGTATGTTATACAATACGTCAAAAAAAAGTAAAACACAGCACAACATTCTCTAACGTCTATGACTTCTTTTTTTTTAATTGAAAATTCACCCTGTGTTTGTGATAAGATGCAGGTTTAATAACTACACTGTTAATGGAGATACCGGCATACGTATATATATATATATATATATCTATATATATATGTACATAGAAATCACCTATGTGTACAGTTTTTACAACACTCCTAATAAGCTAATTTACAATTTTGAATAATGATAATTAACAAAACCGTTAAAATATTACTACTGCTCGAGAAACAATTATTTAATACTTTGGCTATCCTCCATATTGGGAGAGCCGCGTGCTTCGCACGAACATCACGCCAAGCTCTGGCTAGCGAGTTTCGCTCGGACGTTCTGCCTCGAGGAAAGCGTCCGCCATTTCTATAGTTTTTGTTTTCACATCACCATGATTAACTGGGTAGGTGGAATAGTGCGATAAAGTGACTTACCAAAGCCAAATCACGGCCTACGAAAAAAAAAAGTGCCCGTACAGAAGATTCGGCAAGATGAAAGGTAGATTTCATAATGATTTTATATTCAAGTCATACCACTGAACAAAAAAATAAAATACTAATAACACAAATTCTAAGATACGCTTGATAGAGGTAGTCGTATTTATATTATTCCACGAAATGACATTTACAAATCATTGTATACCACACGTATCTAATGATATAACTTCAAAGATGACCGAGTTAACTTTTAAAATTCGGGGTGATATAAAAAGATGTTAAATTAGTCTGTGTTAGACCACACAGCACTGAACTATCAATCACCCCCTCCCCTACACACACACACACAAGTTTCGTACTTCCTATGGCCACTGTTTTTTTTTAAATACGATGTCCTTTTGATGTCCATTAATTATCTTTCTGTGACCGTATATGTTCGTGAAACATAACAACGAACATTTCTGAAGCACCATTTAAGATTTGTGTAACCAACCTCTTCTTGTCAACGCTTAATGTAACGATCCACTAAAGACATTAAACAAATCCAGACCTCATGAACAGCTTTCTTTAAAAAAATTCCAAATTAATAATATACCAATTTATCTATTGACGCCAGGGGAACACTGAAAATTATTGAAATATTTGAGGCTCAGCCATTTTTTTTTTATTTGAACGAAATAAACATTAAATTATCATTGTTATGTAAAGATTTCAAGTTAAATTCATGTTTAATTTGACATGAACTAAAAAAAAAATATATATTTCCGTAGATTACTATTACTCCCATCCTCAAGGAAGTAAATAATTATTCTCGGTAATATTAAGTGATCTTTAAGTGTGGTATTATGAGGGTTGAGGGTTGTGTGTATCAGTTTAAAGCATATAATTTAGTTTCTCAGTTAAAAGTTTCGTAGTTGTACGTGGTATATATATGTATTTCTGTGTGAAGCGCCCATTGTTATAATAAGAATTTCAATAATCCATTTCTTCTTTAACAAAAAAAAATAACCTAGATACTTCTAAAGTAACAAAGTTTTAAACATTTTAAGTATTCGGTTGATGAAATACTTGTGAAGATTTAAGTACATTTTACCATTACCGTCATTACACAGGTCCGACATGCAAATCGGATGACATTTTTATATGTCAAAGAGTAACAAAAACGTCTTATGTTATACAATAAACTCATTTAAAAATAGCAATGTCGCTATACGGCGATGGCGTAAGGCTTATAACTGAAAACAACCGTAAAAAAAAATTCGTTATGTCTTACATCCTGTTACAGACACAGACAAATATCTCAAACTATCATTTATGCTAAACCTTAAGGTCACTGCAAAATTCTTCGAGCAGACATCAGTTTACCTGATATATCCATAATTTTGAAAGTGATAACTCCAATACAGGAAGACCTGACATATCCATAATTTTGAAAGTGATAATTCCAAAACAGGAAGACTTCGTATTCTGTAAGTCATCGTATTACTTCGATCAACACAACTTGGTGTTAAGGTTGACTTTGTAGTCATGTCTGCTCACATCGAAATACACAATACGGCACCAATAAAAGGGCATTTTTCACCATCAATTAAACACTGCCAGATAATAATTATATTCCTTTTTGACCAACGGTTGAATCAGAAGAAAACCGAAGCAACATAATAACAATATTCATTACTGCGCGAGAACTTACGGTTACGGCTAGCGTGTAGAAATTGAACATGGCGGCTGTACATATGCCTCGTCAAACTGTCTATCGCAGACTGAGCCAAAACAGTCCACGTACTTGCTAAAAAAATCTTCACTGCACACTTTTTCTCTTTTTTTAAAACCTTAAGGACTGATTTATAGTATTACATCACTTGGCTTCGTGCAGGAGGATAGGCAGAGATTCACTTAGCTCCCTTGAAGAAAATTAACGTCGGGACAGCCCAGGTTTATGGGCTGTTAGGATGAATCATAATACGAGTAGTGATTTCACCTCAGACACCGAGTTTCCTCTACGAGTCTGATCCTTTACTGCCACTGTTACTCCTTATGGATACACAGATCATTCTCTATGTTATATTTTGAACTTGAAATAGATTCCACTAGTGGTATAACTGCGGACGTGAATGTGGACAACCCAGTCAGTTTTATTTGCCTGTAGACAGTTTATTGCCCAAAAAAGCGCGACTTGCATAACCATTAGCGCCATAGCTGTCAGGGAGCGTGAGGTTTAGAAGCCATAAAATGCCTTTTATTTGTGCCATGCTACACAGTAATAAACTCACAGAGCCGGAACAACTACCTGTGATATTGTTGCAAGAATGTGAATGACGAATAATCCGAACAACGTTTACTATCTTCACTGTAATAAAAGGTACATTTATTAGTGTTTAAAGTAAGATAACAATGATGATGGAGCTAATAAAATTCAAGATAATACTCTTTAATAAAAAAAAAAAAACTTTCAATAAAACACCCAAGAATTCCTTAGGAAATACAAAAAAACAACAACTCACAAGTTGAAACGTAATGATACAAAACTTCAGAGAAAACGTAGTTTTACCCTGATTTATAACAGAACAAGATCCCTGATTTATAACAGAACAAGATTTTAGGTCATTACTTTTTTATATGACACAAGACAGTAAAATTTACACACAGACACACACGTGTTGAAATGGAGATCACTCAAGCCTTAAGATAAAGTATTTACTAAAACAGATTATCATTTAATTGCTAAAATTGGGGTAAACACAACTGTTCCCAATACAAAGCATTCAAACTCACGTATGTATTGACGCATTAATACAAACAACAACAAAATAAAAAGTTTTTCCCACAGACCGTGTCTGAATTATTGTCTAAACGAAAGTAGTGCGTGACTCGCTGTTTCCTTCTGTGCTCGTTATTTTCGGTAAAATACAGGACTACGTTGAATGTTTTGCATTTTGGAAAATTTGTACAACTTCAGGTGAGTCCTGCAATGGCCACAACATTGAAGGTGATACAATACGAAACAATACCAGCAGCTTTGATAAATTAAAAATGGCAGCTGAGCTAAAAGTACATAATGGGCACATTAACTACAATATGTACAATTCTACTCACAAATACCGTTCGTCACGCAACACCTGAATCCACCCACAATGAAGAAAAACACGAATCGGGCGGTTACTCTCGCCCGCCCTGTTAGACTACGCTTCTTGTCCACCTATTTCAGGAGCTTACTGCGACGACCGGTCGATGGGGTGGAGAGGTTCAAGAGGCGGAGGAGGCCCCATCGTTAAGCCTGCTTCCAGTTTAGCCTTATTCTCCTTCTTCCACTTCATCCGACGATTTTGGAACCATATTTTAATTTGTCTTTCTGTTAAACAGAGAGCGTGAGCGATCTCGATTCTTCTCCGGCGAGTCAGGTAGCGGTTGAAATGAAATTCTTTCTCTAACTCCAGTGTTTGATAGCGGGTGTAGGTTTGACGACCTCGCTTCCTTTCTGCGAAAGACATAAAACTAAATATTTATTCTCATAACCTTACAGAAGTATAATATAATGTGATTGTATGGAAATGATATAACTCGTCTCTACCCTGTGCTAAAATCTAAGCCAATAAAGCAAAACATACGGTGGTTAGGAATATCTATAGTTAAAATGGCATAGGAAGTCTTTTAGGCTTGGTGCGATTTCTCGGGAATACAATTTTTGTTTTTTTGTAAACAACGAAGGAGACTGTTGGGGAGTTAGGGTAAACAAAAACACTTAAAACCTCAGCAGTAAAACGACAAATTGGGAATTTATTGTTCCTTTTCCATGTTTGTCACTCTTTTTTTTTTCTTTGCCCCTTCGAGCACCACTTTATGGCACGAAAATTGTTTTATGGTGCCCGCTCTACCGCGAGTTAAATACAACTGTAAACCAATTACAGAGCGTGCCCGATACGAACGTACCCGTCTAAAAAGGTCATCTTTATTTACAAAACTTAAATTAGCTGAAAAACAACGAAATTGTACTGTATAGAAAGGCCCATTTAAAAGTTAAGTATATGTATATGTGTGTGTGTGTTTTATGATTTTTTTTCTTCTCACTACTTTAAGAATTTCCATTTGATTTAGATTGTTGCAAGTAAATGAAAGTTTCATGGCTTTTCTAATCAATTCATATTCATGTTTGTACAGTGTCGTCATTTCAAGAAAAGCCTTTGATGATTGATAGCTCTAGGCCTACTTTGATCGGGAAACGGATGTGCTCAAGCAAGATGAGAAATGAATGATGTATTTTTTGTGCTGCTCGTCTCCTTGGAATTCAGATTCATGTTCTTAATGCATTTCTATTCGTCCAGAGTCAGTGCGCCGTGAATTTTCGTTTCACTCTGGATAGAAGAGAAAGCTGCCCCAAGCTCTCTTCTTTTCTTTTCCCCAAGGGACGAGCGTTTTCAGATGAACTGGGATTACTGTGGTTTAGTTTCTGATGGTGCACCAAAGCAAATAACACACATAGCGTCATAAATTATCCCCAGAAAAAAAAAAAAAGGACAGTGTGATTTAAGTGGTACTGCGATTTGAAAGGTGATCCGCATTTATCATGTCCCCGAGGATCAATAGAAGAGACTAATGACGTTGAAGGTTACAGAGAAAGGGGAGAAGAACCCCAAAAAGGTAGATATAGAATAACGCAATTAATTTTGGAAACTTTCTTTACTTGGATCGATAGAATTGTTATAAAGTTTTCCTACAGGCCATTAAGGCAAGGCGTTTCCAGACTGACGAGGATTTCTCTCATTGGTCAAGCAAAAGTTTTCCAAAATTTTCAAAAAATCATTGCTGCTTTAACATTTAATTAGCCTCAATAGTGTTACATTGAACTTATAAAACACCTGCTCGTCTACCTTTCCATGTATCTGTCGTGTCTCATTAAGATGCATAGCATTAGAACTTCTTCATATCGTTCGTATAAAATGAATATATAGTCTTTCAATTTTACTGCTTACCACATTAAATTTGGGGCTATTTCTGAGCAGGTGATTCTAATGAACAGTCCACGAACTTAAAATAATGTTTGATTTATTTAAAAAAAACAACACACATAGTCATTATGGACTTTAGATATGTTCATATATTTTCATTATATCAGGTTTTAATGAAATTAATATTTTGAAACTAATCCCTAGAAATGCTCATAAGAAAAGTGAACAAACGTATTTTTAGTTAAATAAAAAAACTTAAACGAAGAATCTAAAGTTTTCGATCAAGTACTAGGAGTCAACTGAAGATTAAACACCTCAATTACAACACTGGGATTTTCCAATAAAACTAGCAAGACAAGGAAATCTTTGTTTGTTCTTAAACACAAAGCCACACAATGGACTATCTGTGCTGTGCCCACCGTGGGTATCGAAACCCCATTTTCAGCGTTATAAGCCCACAAACTTGCCGCTGAGCTACCGAGAGGGCAACAAGGAAGTCAGCCAATCAACCAAATGCATTGTTTATGTTTTAAGTACCCCCCCCCCCGTGGCACAGCGGTTTCTCTGCGGACTTACAACACTAGAAACCGGGTTTCGATACCCATGGTTGGCAGAGCACAGATAGCCATTTGTGTAGCTTTGTTCTTAACTACAAACAAATAAACAAGATTTAAATATTTTGCTGGTGCTAGAATTAAAGAGGCTTAGTTGTCAGTTCATGTTTATCAGATTATGTTAATGCTGGAATTTAGGAGCGAGGTTTTCAGTATATATTTAGATGGTTATTAGTAATAACAAATAAAAGTCATTGGTTGTCAGTATATATATATATATATAAACTTCTAGTACATATTAAAACATGTTCGTTTAGATTTCAGTACACACCTAAAACTTTATGTAAATGATATAAATCAAGGTACAAAGTTTTCAGTATATTTAGAATATTAAACTAATGCTAAAATGTAGGATTTAGTGATCAGTATATATATATGTATATGTATAATATGTTTTAAAACCATTTTATTGGGAGTCAATAAATAATGACCGTTTAACAAGTACAATATAAAATTGTATATTGGGGAGACAAAGGTAGAATGATGAATTCAAATGCTCCTGTCAAATGTGTAAGGTTTTTTTTCGATGTTATTTACAAATTATTTATGCTACGTGGTTTTAATTGCCACGAACATTAAATACGGGTTATTCAGAGGCAAAATAAAAATCCCAACGACATGACGTCACTAGAAAGTTATTCTTACAGCGCTAATGACGAAGAGGTTTAGTGTACTAAAACTTGTGTAATGTTAAAAGCATTGTAGATTAAAGATGTCGTTTATCAACTAGCTTATATAAGTCCTGAATTCGTTAATCAACTCCTGTAAGGTATGTGTCAGAAAACAGTCGATCGAACAGGTCATTGCTTTATTTACGAAACTCTGTTCTTATGTTATGTTGTTCGTCCAAGGTTGAGACAAATGGAGGTCGCATGTGAAAGTAATGTTCTCTGTATGTGGGAGTAATGTTCTTGTACTAACACTGCATGTGGAAGTAATATTCTCTGTATGTGGGAGTAATGTTCTTGTACTAACACTGCATGTGGAAGTAATATTCTCTGTATGTGGGAGTAATGTTCTTGTACTAACACTGCATGTGGAAGTAATGTTCTCTGTATGTGGGAGTAATGTTCTTGTAGTAACTATGTATGTGGGATTAATGTTCTCTGT